AAAGTTTTTTTATATAAAAGTTACCGAGGTGAATGGTATGAATCATCGCCCAAATCCAGAAAGCTTTTGAATATGATAATGCTGAGAAGTATTTCACCTTGTACGTTGACTGTTGGAAAAATCATGATTCTTTCTTTTCCGAGTTTCAGCGCGGTAAAACTTGACATAATTTTCTTTGACCGTATTCATAGACGGTTCTTATATTTAAGACAGTACAATCTTAAGTACAATCTGTTTGAGATGTCACAAGCCATTTATGGAGGCGTATTAACATCTTAAGACTTAAGATATGATTTTGAATTAATAACGGACTTATGAATACCTTTATATGTGCGTCTTTTTTATTAACAGTTTTGATATTTCTTCTTTCTTTGTAGGTCGTACGTGCATCCGTTTCGTATTTCACAGTTTTACGAACTGTACTGTAATCTAGAATTTTCGAAATTTCTCTTTTAAAAAATATAAATTTATTATTAATACAAAAATAATATGTAATGCTTTATTATTAATTAATAATAAATCATCTATATTTCTGAGAAAATAATTAAATATGAAAATATATTCATATTTGTACTTTTTTATCTTTTTGGTAAACCATCTCCGTTTTATTTATCTTTAATAAAATATAAGTATAGAAAATCCTCGACAATAGTAATATACAATACAATAGACTTTTAATAAGCTTACGTGTATACTCCATAAGACTGTTATTTTTTAATGCAGCCGATTTTGAAACGACTACTTCTCGTAATAGTCTGGTATTAAATCAATTTACGAATAAAATTTTCATACCTCTTTTGTCTGTGTCGTATCCACTAAGACAATACTTTCAGCTGTTCCCCGTCTCTATAATTACGCAATTTCTATAAGATGATCTTGCGACTTTACACTGTGTAGTTTTGCTTTCTGCAGTTTTACTACGTAATTAAGTTTAATTACAAACGTTCAACAATTGTGAATCAGCAATATATGCCGCGTATATTATTGTTCAATTACTGGAATTTATTTATCACATGTTGATTAGGGCAAGTAATTGATTATAGAGACTGTATATAGACGTCGATATAAGTTAAAATATACAACAACTGCTCAAGTTTAACAATTTAATAGTATATATAAGTAATAAATATTTTACATTAAAGGAAAATAATTCCTCGATAAAATAACATTTATTCTTGCTACGTATAGTAATAGAATCTTCTCTCTCTCTCTCTCTCTCTCTCTCTCCTCTCTCTCGATACAAATTATGAAGAAATATGGTACAACTAATGCATAAATCGAATTCAAAAAGTGTAGAACGTGATAATGCTAAAGTTAAGTCACAACGTTACTATTAAAAAATTTATAATTAAATATCAAAATGTCATTATCTACATATTATCTATATATCTTTTAAAAAAATATTCCTTATAATTTTAATAAAAATACAAAAAACTTTTAAAAACGGCATGCAATATAATAATACGTTTATCTCACAAAATTGTTACTTCCTAACAAATTTCGAAGCGGTTATACCTCTTTGTATAAGTCTGAATCAATTCTACTTGTAAATAAAATATCTCTTTTGTCTTCGCTAAATCCACTAACGATAAGATAATATTTTTAGTATGGTTGTCGTCTTTTCTACGACTGTGCAATATGCATAAGATAATCTTATAACTTTTTTGCAATGAACAATTTTGATTAACGATAAATGTATTACATACACATTTTTTATTTTATAACTACCTTCTACATTAAACGGAATATTTAATAAGAATGTGAATTACATTCTATTAAAGTTGAAGTATTACATAAGTTTACAGAATTTCGCTTTTGTAATAATAGCAGCAGAAAATAACAAACAGAATGGGATATTAATGTGTTCTTTCAGAATTTTTTTTTATAACATTCGAGTACTACTAATTGTTCAGCAGATTCAACAGTTGAGTAAGCGCTTGCTGCTATTGATGTATTCTTCTAGATCTAAAAGTCTGATTGGATGATCTAAAAGAATACAACAAGCGCTAACTTAACTATTGAGTCCGCTGAATGTGCCCATTGTATCAGTGGTCTATCGCTTTTTTATACAACAAGCGTTAAGCGATATACAAGATTTGTCCCGAAAGTATCCGTCCTTTTTACGTATATTTTTGTTTTTGGGCATCATATTGTGGAAAACAGGTATTCAGTATTTAGGGGTACTCCATCAAGCGGCACGATTCAACAGCTATACGTTGGCA